TGAGCACATCTCTTCCTTTCTGCTTGCCGTCTCCCATTGGATGGAAAGAGCGCTCTCCTCTTTGCAGACACATTAGTCTGTAATAAGTTCTGAAAAGTTCACTGTGCTTGTTAAATACTTCTAACAGATGAGATGAGAAGTGGGAACGACTTAGATCGAGCTGACAGAAGCACTCGTCCGGTCTTATGAACACTTTTACCACAAACAACTGCATAATCACTCTCATGAAAAGGTCAAAGCTGCAATAACCCGGACAGCTTTTGAAACTGTATATAAATAGATTGATAGATATATATACTGTCATACAGATGGAGAGATAAAGAATACTGCTTATTGCCCCTTTTACCACCCCATTTTTCTGGTTATTTCCACTGGTTCTTTTCCAGTTTTTAAAAGAAAATGCAAAACAAGCAGAATGACTCGTTATCGATTTTCAAAGCTGCTTTAATCATTACGTTACCTGGTGCAGATGAAAATGTATGACTCGGTCTTTGCCTGCACCTGCTACAACCGGGAGTGGGAGGGGCTACTGCACAGTAAAATGAGCCTCTTATAATCAGCTGCATGTCGCTTTTGCTTTTGAGGAATAAAATATCTTATGTGGGGGGCAAATCTATTTGGTTGGGTTGCACATACAAATTATATGCATAGATGTGAATGACAGCCAGACAGGCAGACAGACGGGCACGGAGACAGAGGGTGGAGGCAGGGTGGGAGAGAGTGCAATAGTGTTAAATAAAAAGGCCCACAGGCTTGGGCTGGATGGTAATGAAGAGGGGTGGGCCAGCAGCTGAGGTCCCTGTAGATGAGATCTCTCCCTGACATGTGTGTCCCCTTCATTACCCATTAAGGGGGGCACAGTGATGAATCCTTAATATGACATTACACCAATTTTCCTCTTCATTTAGCCTGCTAATGTGCTGGTCTGCTCCTATATGCCCAGGGGCTGCCTGTACCAGACTCAACCAGAAATAGACCACAGTGGCCACTGGTGGCACACTGGCACACCTTGAAGCGGCCTAATTAGGGGCAGTGCCCACCTAATGGGGTTATCTAGACGAGAGTATGCATAAGTTGATTTTTTTAGCTGGTAGACATTGATGACTGAATGGCATGTATGTTTGATATTTTCTTTGACCCCTCACAAAAAAAGCTTATTTTTACGTTTCCATTTGCCACCTAGTAAAAAGCTGGTCACTCAAATACAATTTAAGCCGTAGCTTGATCTTGGACCTGTTCAGCATAATTCCAGAAGTAAATATTATGGAAAGGATTCACATAGATCGTTTGTTTGCGTAACTGTGTGTGTGTTACTGTGTAAGTGGATGTGTGTACGACTCACTCAGCATGCCCATCCCCAACATGAAGGCATCCATGGTGTAGGGCAGACCCCTGGCTCGTCCTCGTGTACCTGGCGGGAACATCACTTCCTTGGGCTGGGCCTTCTTACATTCTACCTATGTAGACAGACAAACACAGGCACATGCACACATTCACACACAAACACACACGCAAACAAACCATTAGAGTGTGTGGGTACAGTACACAACTAGACAAATTTGACAGGGCTGTCTCAGCTCTTTAAGGTGGTTTTCTATTTGACTTGCACAGCACTGGATGTTTTCCATAGAGAAAAACAGGAGTGAGTCAATCTGAGCACCTCACACTTTAGAGGAAAATCTCTAAGGAAAAGTTCATGCTCCTTCTGCATTAAAGCAAAGATTATTGCTCCAGTGAGCATGAGCCCAGTGCCTCAGGGAAATGCAAGCTAAATACTTTCCAAGCGTTTCTGAGACATCGAGGTAGGAGAAGTGCGATTACCAGAGTCCTGCTGTGTGGCAGTGCGTCCAGTTTCTTTGTGAAAGGCAGCTTTTTGTTTATTCTAAATAAAGAATAATCCCTAAAGCAACAACCTCTCTTGACAAAATCTATTTGTTCACTGCTGTTTGTTTCATTTAACTTAAGTCTTGGGCAATGTGTTCAAAATCTCAAGCTCACAAAAATGTGTTTTTTTAAAACCAGATATGCTTCATGTTTTTATATGTGTATTGTGTATTTGTGCATGTGTGTGTGTGTTGGGCTCAAGTTCCCACTGCCCCACAGTTCACAGTCCACATTAAGGGGGGCACAGTGATGAATCCTTAATATGACATTACACCAATTTTCCTCTTCATTTAGCCTGCTAATGTGCTGGTCTGCTCCTATATGCCCAGGGGCTGCCTGTACCAGACTCAACCAGAAATAGACCACAGTGGCCACTGGTGGCACACTGGCACACCTTGAAGCGGCCTAATTAGGGGCAGTGCCCACCTAATGGGGTTATCTAGACGAGAGTATGCATAAGTTGATTTTTTTAGCTGGTAGACATTGATGACTGAATGGCATGTATGTTTGATATTTTCTTTGACCCCTCACAAAAAAAGCTTATTTTTACGTTTCCATTTGCCACCTAGTAAAAAGCTGGTCACTCAAATACAATTTAAGCCGTAGCTTGATCTTGGACCTGTTCAGCATAATTCCAGAAGTAAATATTATGGAAAGGATTCACATAGATCGTTTGTTTGCGTAACTGTGTGTGTGTTACTGTGTAAGTGGATGTGTGTACGACTCACTCAGCATGCCCATCCCCAACATGAAGGCATCCATGGTGTAGGGCAGACCCCTGGCTCGTCCTCGTGTACCTGGCGGGAACATCACTTCCTTGGGCTGGGCCTTCTTACATTCTACCTATGTAGACAGACAAACACAGGCACATGCACACATTCACACACAAACACACACGCAAACAAACCATTAGAGTGTGTGGGTACAGTACACAACTAGACAAATTTGACAGGGCTGTCTCAGCTCTTTAAGGTGGTTTTCTATTTGACTTGCACAGCACTGGATGTTTTCCATAGAGAAAAACAGGAGTGAGTCAATCTGAGCACCTCACACTTTAGAGGAAAATCTCTAAGGAAAAGTTCATGCTCCTTCTGCATTAAAGCAAAGATTATTGCTCCAGTGAGCATGAGCCCAGTGCCTCAGGGAAATGCAAGCTAAATACTTTCCAAGCGTTTCTGAGACATCGAGGTAGGAGAAGTGCGATTACCAGAGTCCTGCTGTGTGGCAGTGCGTCCAGTTTCTTTGTGAAAGGCAGCTTTTTGTTTATTCTAAATAAAGAATAATCCCTAAAGCAACAACCTCTCTTGACAAAATCTATTTGTTCACTGCTGTTTGTTTCATTTAACTTAAGTCTTGGGCAATGTGTTCAAAATCTCAAGCTCACAAAAATGTGTTTTTTTAAAACCAGATATGCTTCATGTTTTTATATGTGTATTGTGTATTTGTGCATGTGTGTGTGTGTTGGGCTCAAGTTCCCACTGCCCCACAGTTCACAGTCCAATTTCACCTGCAGCACTCATCTCTCTCCTGCATTTCTTTTTCACACACCTGTTCTTATACAGGTTGTTTGTTTCCCATCTTGCAAGACAGACATTTTCTCCTCCTACATGAGAGGAAGATGAGAGTGCTATTTACCACGTATCTTTCCTATCTTGATGAATTATAGAGAAACACAAGCGGCTGACAAGGGCGGCGTGGTCTTGTGTCTGCTGGTTGTTCTTTGGTAGGCTGAGTCTGTTCACCATGCTGCACAATCTATTTGCTCCACTGCCTGCTTGGCATCAGCCTGTCCATCTGTTTGTCTGTTTGCCTCCTGGCTCTTGCCTGCTTCTCCCTACTGCCTCCACTTAAGCAGGGCTTTCTCGGCTGCTGCGATTCACATGTCATCCTGGCCCTCTGCACAAGACAGGCTACTGCGCCAGTGCTGTGTACACCTCAACCAAGGTACAGTCCAGCATCCATACAAATAAGCTTGCAACTCTGACAGGCCAGCAGTGCACATTACTATTCGCACACCACTCATTCACATATGCACAGTGGTGGACACAACATGCTACTGCGAGTTGCCAACCTGAAATAAAACCAAATTTGTAAGAAGTAGCTATACTAAATAAACAGTTTAACAAGGCCTGTATATCCAGCACAGAAGAAGAAATGTAAAAAGGGAACACTAATGAAAAAGGTTCCTATTACAGAGGGAAAGTTGCTGCGTTGCACAGCTGTGATTTGTTGCTGACAGCAGCCCTCATTTGTAGCAGACCAACTGAAGCACACAGTTCCCTCAGCCACTTTGTAGCTGTCACTACTGTGCCCTCGTTGCTCGCCTGGCATGGTTTGATTTTGCGCTGAAGAGAGCGCAGGCGCTCAAGAGAATGAGCCATGGCACGGAAATAGGAACCGGGTGGGACAAATGGATCTGTTAGAAATCTCTGCACACTGCTGGGATTTTCACATGTTCACATAGCTGGGTGACAAATACAGCCGAGCTCTGCCCACACCACAGACATGACAGCATCTGATCAGTGTCCTCCAGTAGCCCCTGCCACATTCAGCAAGGTGGATGCTCAGGTAGTCGGCTGGGAGTAAGGAGGACATGGGTGTGAGCTTTGCCTACATGCTCTCAGATGTGAATCTTTGATATTCAGAAAGAGGGCTCCTTGTCATGGATTTAAAACCAGCCAGAAGCCAGGATGTGTGATAGAGTGTGTATGTGTGTGTGTTCACCTGCTTCAAGCACACAGGAGTGTTAGAGTAGGAGGGCAGGAGCTTTCAAGAGTGAACTAAGTAAAAAAAAGAAAAAAAAAAAAAGAAAAAGAAACGGATGGCAAGACATTTGCAAACCTGACAATGAAGCACTTCAAATGGTGAACGCAGCTGTGAATGAAGAGATTCAAGCAAGTTTTTACAGACTGCATCTGTTGCCACATGCACTGAGAAGGAACTGAATTTACAGGCTCTCATTTTAACTGCGAGTATGGTCCTGAATTATGGCTTGGGTAACCAGGCGTCTTGATACGGTTACGAAGACAGCACAGTATTGTGTTGTGAAAGGTATCCACCGTTTAGATGTCATACTGTAAATGGAGGTGTTTGAGCACTATTGTGCCTGACTGAGAAAAGGGACACCCAAAACAACCTGCCTTGGCTTCACTGCCAGGAAAGTTACCCTGTTTTGTGCAGAAATAGCACCCAGGAGATCTGAGAGCCTCAAAAACACACACATACAGTTTGTAAGACAGCTGACAGTTCCTGCCACAGTGTTTGACAACGCACGGTTACCTGAACCTGTGTGCTTTCAACATATATTGAGATATTTCAACCTCTGCTACACTGCTATACTGCACTCTGCTTATCTTTGAGTTTTGTGTCACTCTGTAACCCACGGTAAAGTCGGGTGAAGGAGAAAAACAGAAAGCCAAACAGTGGAGCCTATACAGTTAAAGAGCTTAAATAAATACTGTATAAGTTATTTCATAATGCTGTTTGTGATTGTGTCAAAGGCTTAATGCTTGCCGACCTGGAGGATTCCTAGAACAACTACAGTAGGAACTTCTTACTGTTAGTTAGTTTGAACAATCAGAACAATCATTCTGACTCCAGTCTGTCACATCTAACTGTTTATAAAGTTCTTGGATCTCATCCACACAACCTGCAGCCCAGTTTGTCAGGAGTGAAACGTAATCCAAACCAACATTAGGAAATGATATAGTGATACAGGGAGACAGACATACAGTAGACAGCTGATACAAATGCTTGGAAAGTCTGGCTTGATAAAATCAAAAAAGGGGAGTAGTTACATAAAGAAAGAAATTTCAGAAGATGTCATGTAAATAGGTCACCAGCTAATTCTGTCCCTGGCTAGACGTTTAAATTCAGGTAAAAAAAAAGAAGTGATACAGTCCATATCACATCCATCGCCAGAACTTGCAGAATATTTCATTTTGTTTTGCTGCTGTCTTGTTCTGGTTATGAATTTATGACTTTTGGGGGTTATTATTCTTTATCTACAAATAACCATGCTTGGTACTGAAATTATGAGGCGCTAAAAAAAAGACACACACACACACACACACAGAGACACACACACACACAGACACACACACAGACACACACACACAAATACACGCGCGCGTAAACAAGGACCTCGCAAACAGTTTTTTGATCAGTGTAGTAATGCAGCCCACGGATGACAGAATAAAACAAACAACTGTCTTTGATTTTATGTAAACCCTATGATACAGAGCCGAGAAAAGCTTCAGCTCTGACATTTCTAATACATCTCCCATACATTATTAACCTTGTAGGTATAACAGGACGGTGTGGGCGGGGTGGACTGACAATGACTGTCCTTCAGGGACGAGTGTTGTTGGCGTGATGTGTGTTTGTGTGCATGTAGAGGGGGAGGCGACTTTCAGCCTTGCCGGTGAATGGACTCCATCAGCACAGTGGCAGATTGAAGAAAGGAAACAGTGTGATTCATTTAGTCCAGCTCCCACTCCTAGCTCAACAGTCAAAACACATAGACTGAATAGTTGGGAAATGTCATGGCTCTGAATGCACAATGTCAGGCATGGTGGTGTGGGATTATTCACTTAAGAAGTAGGCTACTCACAACCATTTAACAAGTGGTTTATTTAAAGAACAGACTGATAACCAAGCTAAGACAATATTTTGAACATTTAAGATAAAACCTTTAGCAATATTTTATGTGAACATTTTCTATTAAAGGGAAATCTAGTGGATAGAGATACAGTATTTTGACCAGTGAAAACGCAGGACACGCATACTCTAAAAAGGTTAGCAGGGCAGGCATAATGGACAAAGCAATGCCAAAGGATTCAGATGTGGTGCATTTAGTCATATTTCTGTGATAACGTAAACATTTGAACTTTACTGAATTGATGAAGAGGAGAAAGACAATTTGATACATTCCCACCTTGCAAACACCTGCTTTTAGTAATATCTGTTGTAATCCCTTTGAGTCCAAAATAATCAGAGCCTCTATTCTCCACAACTAGTACAGACTTGAAACTACAATGCTTCAAGTCAGAGAATTAGTTTGTTTAACACAGGTTTTGGTTGGAGTGTCCCTTTAAGACCACTGAAAACATTTTATGCCTGGTTCAGACTACACAATTTTTTTTGTATGACTCCATGGTCACTATGTCAGATTACATGATTATAGAATCATACATTCTTGGATGAGGGATATAACAGACTACACATTGGTACCCAACAGATCACACTCTGCACGACTTGGATGTGCCAGGGACCAGGGGAATGTAAACACAGAATAGCGTTTCTGGTGTGTGTGATACTGGCTGCTTGTGTTCAGAAAAGCATAACAAAAGAAAAGCTGTTCGTGGATCTGTCTCTTGGGTCGCACGAAGAGTGCAGCAGTCTATGTGTTATCTATCCTTTATGGAGAACTTGAGGTCCATCCATCCTTCCATTATCTCTACTGCTTGCTTATTACCAATTAGGGTCGAGAGGGGCTGGAGCCAAACCCATCTGACATTGGGTGAGTGGTGGGGTACACCCTGGGCACGTCGCCATGTAAACAAACAACCACACACACTCAAGGGCAATTTAGAGTCCCCAATCAACCTAAGCTTTGGACTGTGGGAGGAAGCCGGAGTACCCGGAGAGCACCCACGCAGGCACAAGGAGAACATGCAAACTCCACACAGAAAGGCCCCAGGTTGGCCAGGGTTTGAGCCCAAAACCCTCTTGCTGTGAGGTGACAGTGCTAACCACTTTTCCGCTGTACCACCATAACTTGAGGTAGCAGTTAAAAATAAGTGTCTCAAGTCAGTTTGTAAAACCAAAAACTAGTTATAGTG